AAATTTTTTTTTTTTTTTTTTTTTTTTTTTTTTTTTTTTTTTTTTTTTTTTTTTTTTTTTTTGAAGTCTCACTTAACTTTTTGAAATCTCACCCTGTTTTTGAGAAAGGGTGAGAAATTCTCACCCATTTTTTTTCTGAGATGAAAACACTGATATATATATATATAAATTAAATGGTAATTTTTCTTCTTATTCTTGTGTTTAATGGTTAGATACTATTTGGAATTATAAAAGTTTAGTTGTCTTTCATGCAGATTTTTATTTATTTTTATTGTACTAAAAATGAAAAAAATCTGCATTTCAGAGGTCCTTTCAGCAAAGTACGGCGATGTGTACACAGGACTACCGGTCAGCAGTTTGCTGTCAAAATAGTCGACGTAGCTAAATTTACTTCTTGTCCAGGTCTCAGCACTGAAGGTAAGATAATTCTCGCATATTCCAAGAATTAGAATATTTAAATTAAAGTTTCCAAGGATAATTTTATTGTTTTCATTAGAATTTAAGATAAAAATGTATTTTTCATTAAAATCATTCTCAATATCTATCTTAAATAATTAGTTTATCTTTTAAAATATTTTAAATTTTGAAATTTTGCATTAATTTGCTTAAATTGTATATTAAAAAATATGCTTAAAAATTGAGGTATAGTGCACAAAATACAAAACGAAATACCTTAATAACTTTAAATCTGGTTATTGGATTGTCACGTGAGGCATGGTTTAAGGAATTAATGGTTCGTGGAGCTACATTTTAATACACTGATAAATTTGTAAAGGTGATGTACTAAATTACACCGACCGGCCTGTGTAGGGGTTAGGGAACTGCCCCTGCATCAGAAAGGTTCTGGGTTCGAATCCCGGGCACTGATAAATTTGTAAAGGCGATGTACTAAATTGCACTGACCGGCCTGTGTAGGGGTTAGGAAACTGCCCCTGCATCAGAAAGGTTCTGGGTTCGAATCCCGGGCAAGGCATGCATGTTCTTTCCTTCTCTGTACTATCTGTCCTTACTGTGGGAGCAACATTGGCCCACCTAATATAATGCCCCAGAAAGAGTGGTCAACAAATCTGTCCTTCAGATGCCTATATGACGTAAGTCATTCTCCAGGTGGGCATTGGGAAAAAAAAAACACTAAATTACGAAATCAAACACATCTCTAAATAAATATACTTTATTTTTGGTCTGATTTGGGCACTTGACGTTTAAATTAGGGGGCTGGGAATCTGCAATTTTAGAAAATATGGTTGAAATAGTTTTGGCAGAAGGAACGGCGACCTTTAAAGTTAATTGCTTTTTTTTCACGCTGAATATTATTATGAAAAGAGTCAAATTTTTTAATTTTCATTTCTCAAAAACTATTAGACCGATTCGATTCAAATTTTGGATTTCGTCTTTAAAAATTACATAGGGGAAAACGAGGAAAAAATTTGTGTACCCTTTCGTTGAAACTTTTTTAAACATTTTTAAGATAAATATAAAAAAATAATTATCATAAAATTAATTTTTTTACGTTGAGTTATCTTAGATAAACGAGTTTTATAATTGTATGCAAAATATTTGATTATCTTAAGTAGTCCCAAGGATCTGGTGACATACATAAAAAGAAAAATCAACATTAAGGGTATTAAACTTTCGATAGCTATCCTACCTTAGCTATTAAAACCATTTTCTATTTTGCGAGTATGCTCCATATTTTTAGAACTAAGAATCTAAATCGGTCGAAAAGGAGTCATGTTTATTCAGGGAAAACACGTTTCTGTGTTTGGTGCCGTAACTGGTGGCGTATTTAAAGCTAAGTCCCCCGAATCATTAAAATTGCTTTTTCGGTATGAGAAAATTCAATCATTAGATAAAAAGTTACTAAGATGTTCTGTTTTTTATTTTGTGCACTGTACAGCATAATAAGTGGATTATCTTGAATTATAGCTTGTTATCGATTTAAATAAGTAACGGAAAATTTTGTTTTTAAAACTTGTTCGAGAATTTTAGAAGATCAAGATTCAGTTTCCAGAAATGATGCCATTTTGTCAATGTGATATTCGTATCAATGCTTATAAGTTTTTCTTTTTGAGAAATAAATTCTAAAATTACACTCTTTTCCCATAAAATAATTTTTTAAAGGATAGAAAAATGTGCAATAATTGTAAATTTTTTTCTTCTTAACTTAAAACCATACTTGTTCTCAATAAAAATGAATATTGTTAAAATTGTTGTAATTCCAAAAAAAAAAAAAAAGTATTTTTTTATAACACGGGTTTATACAGTTTTGCATAAATATAAATTACAGTAATGATAATAATATGACTGTAATCTTTCATTGATTGGGATGATCTAATAATAATTAATTAATTTTTTCGTAACGTGTTAATGTAGTTTCGATAAAACATTCTCATAATATATGAAAATTTTTGTTGTTCGAAAAGAACAAGTTTTTAATTTTTTTTTATATATCTTATATATCTTTAATTTTTTTAAAAATATATTTTATGATCTGTGCAATTTTGCACCGACACAGTCACTCCTATTTTAAATGATTTAATTATATTTCTTTCATACCGTGTTAAGTTCTTCATACCCTGTATAGTTTTTAAAAACTACGTGTATAGTTTTTAAACTACTGCTGAGATAGTATGAAATGTTCACAGATTTATTGTTGTGAAATAGTACATTAGCTTTTAGAGTTGTCTGTACTGTGAGATCTGTACAATTTAAAAACCATTTTATAATAAATCAATTTTAAGTATTTCAATTAATTGTTTAGAATTGATTTATTTGCATAAAAATTATTTCAATTAAAAGAATTGGAATTTTCTTAGAGATTTCGAAATCTTTTTTAAAACTTAGAATTATGTTTTTTTGAATTACAGACATTTTCTGCGAATTTATTTCGAAAAGTAAGTTAAAATGAAATTTTTTAGAATATTTAAAATATATTTTTCAATGTTTTTATGAAATAACGATAACTAGTGATTAGAAAAATATGATTTTAATATTTTCTATCTATCAGCAAAAATGTTCCAGTGGAAAACAAATATGTAACTTCAACATGTAAAAATACATGCATAATAATCAAAAGTTTAAAATTTAACGCATAACAAGCTGTTATTTTTTCACTTTTGCTTTTTTATTGAAATTGAATATATTGTATAGTTGCTTTTTAGAAGTAGCTCTATCTTTACCACGTGGAAATATGAAATTATTACGTTTTTTTTAAAAATATTTGTTGCTGTGTTAAAAATTATTTTCCATTATAGACCTAAAACGAGAAGCAACCATTTGCCATATGCTGAAACATCCTCATATCGTAGAACTTTTAGAAACTTACAGCTCAGATGGAATGCTCTACATGGTGTTCGAATAGTAAGCCTTCATTTTATTTTATTTACTCACAACCGCAACTAAAGAAGTCGCGTCTCCTAAATTTTAATATGTGCTGTGGCGTTCGAAAGACTCGTGTTTCCTCGAAGATTTGTCACATGGATTAGAATAAAGACGCTTCTACAAGTTTTCGGGTTTATCTTATTCCCTCGAGCTGTAAAGGTGCTAATATGTTTTAATTTAGAATAAAACTGCTTTTAGTGTTCGGATTGGATTAAGTTTACTACTGTAATAGCCTTGCATAAATAGTTGTGATTTTGTTCGGACAGAATAAATAAATGTGTTTATTTTAAAAAAATATTATAATTTTTATTAATACTTTTAAAGTGTATATATATATATATATATATATATATAAGTTTCAATGTATCAATGAAATTGAGATGTTTTAGTACATAATTCCTACATAAATAAAAATGGAAAAATTATAATCTGAACGTTTTAAAATTTGTTCTTCGAAGGTATTCGGGTTTCTTAAATAACCAATAGTGTTCAAAAACAATTTCATTAAACTGATTTTAACAATAGCATTTGAAACTAATTAAACGTTAAAAACTTATAAAACGCATTAAATGTTAAAATACTCATAAAATGCATTAAACGTTAAAAACTCGTTTTAACGCTTTTTAAGTATCGAAATATATTGCGTTCAAAACTCGTAATGAACGTTCATATTCGTCAAAACATTTATCTTCAAGATTAGGTCAGATATCCATTACACTAAACAAGCGTAGGTAACACGCAGACATGATCAGTGTGCGTGATTCAGATAAAAAGACATGGCATTTCTTTGACATGTCTAAACTCCGGCGATGTGTTGCTGAATTGCATTTTGCCATGCGCTTCTGTGCTGGCATCGACTATGTCACGGGGGATACTGCTGGTCAGCCAAGCGTTACTGGCAGACAAACGTCAATGTGTGTCCATCTTACCGTGACGTCACGCTGTTGAATACTATGCAACACCAGGCTTACATTACAGAAAATTGGGGTGCGCCTCGGGCTCCTAGAACAACAGGGGGGAGGTTGTGTTGAAAGATGAAGAAGTAAAAAGCAAAAAATTGCATCAACAAAATAAAAAGACGCAGATAGTGCGCTAACCACCCGTAGAATGCGCAGATATATCTTTGCTTTCTTAGAGCATCGACGGTTTGGTTTGCTTTAGATGATACCCCATTATTTAGTAGTTATGCAACGATGGATCGACGGGCTTGAGGAAGAGATCAACTAAATTGAGGAAATGCTTAATGAGAATAACATGCTTTATATCGGCATTTACCCTGCCTAGAAAATTTTTATTTATTTTACCCCCTACTTCTTCCCATCGTTTGTGTTTAATATAAGTGTCTAGCCTTAAAACGGTATAAGTACCTGTAAGATTCTCCCCTCTTTTTAGTGCTATGTTCTTCTAAGAACTTGCTCATACTTGACAATTTTTGACTTGATTCTGTGTTTAAGGCTGTTATCCGAATGTTCTTCAGTCATATGATGTTTGTATGACTTTTGGGAAAATGTAGCAGTTATTCTTGTCTTTTGGGTGCAGTTTTGTACATCTCTGAGCAGGATTTATGCTGGACATAAAAATGGCGTGAATTGTCGGTATGAAAAAAAATATTTAAAAAAAAAAACGCTTTTAATCTATTTTTTTAATAGTTGAAAAGTAATTCCATTACTGTAATGTTTGGGGCCATTAAATTAGAAAAAAAATTTGAATTATTTATGTTTTTAATGATTTTCTTTAAGGAAGAAATCATCTGGACATATTGGTACTTTTTGTAATGGATAATTGTTTTTGTATAATACTCAAATTCTTTTTTTTTTTT